TGCAATGAATTAATATTTGTTATTATACCAATTGTGAAAGGAAAAGAAGAGAAAGAAAAAAAGAAGATAAAAAAGGGTTCAAATGATGAGGATGCTGTAATTATGATCAATTTCCTAGTTTTTTGTTATTCTCTCACCAAATTAATCCGCTCAATAATTAAGAATATATCTTAATGTAAGCAACTGTGACTCTCGGGAGAACCTCTTTTTTTCCCTGCTCATCACCAATTCTCATCCTCATCTTCTCGGGACATTTTTTCTTCTCTTTTTTTCTCCTTTTCTCATTGTCATCATTATTTCATCTTTTTCATCTTTAAAAGAGACAGAAGTGAGAGAAATGAAAAAAGGGTAAAAAAAGAGCTGAATAGACAATGCTATTGATGTTTTGCTGATTTTCACTCAATATTAATATTCAAATTATCAAATTAACTTAAACATCATTTGAATGAAAAGAGAAGAAAAATTTTCATCTTTTCTTCTTCATTTCATCCTTTTCTTTGAAAGCTCATTGGAAAGTCCATTTGAATGTAAAATGTTCCTTGAACAATCATGATTAACTAATTCCTTCATTTTATTCAACAAAATCAAATTGTCTTAGTTCATCATCTTTTCCAATCATCAATTGATTATCTCAGCAAATTGTGATTAACACAAGTTTGTTTGCTTTTTCAGTGAAAACCCAAAAAATGGAATAATTTTTTCTTAAAAAAACAGATTGTCTCAACACTAATCAAGAATATTTAAAATGAATAGAAAGTTGACAAAATTGAGCAAAAATGTCAACTTAAGACACTTCGAATGTGCTGAATCTTCGATTTTCGGGAAAACTCGAAAAGGTGCAAACAGTTTCAACTCATTATCAATTTAATCCTATTGTAATTACACAATGAGACGACTCACCTTGCCTCATCAAAGAGGCTGGATTAATGAAGGTGAGGAGGAGTTGCGCTTAATTAACAGCAGTTGAAATAGGATGATAATGAATGGAAAGGATGAGACCAAGAGAAGATGCAAAAGGCGAAACACAAGTTGATAATAATATTAATCAAAGGAAGAAGCAAAAATATCATTAAGAATACAATTATCATTCGAAATATTTTCCCTTTTTTTGCCTGACAAACTCGACAATTTCATCTTCATCTTGATCATCAAATCCAATCAAGTAAATGTCTTTAAACAATATTTACTTTCCTCCGAACGCTTGAAACCAGTTTCAACATTTCCTGATCATTTCAATAGAGGGAGTAGAAAGTTGCTGAATTTGGCGAAAAGTGGAAGAAAAAACTTTTGTCTTTACTCAATTGTCGTTCAAACCAAACTGTTATCTGATTAACTGTTGCTTTTCATTGAACAATCTTTTCACTTTCAATGGCTTAAATTCGCTCAGATCAACTCGAATCAATTGGATAATGTAAGTATCATTGATCATCATTTCCCATTCTCCTGTCACTCAGCGATAATTGCGATTAGTAATGAACATTTTTTACCCTTTTTTTAGCTCTTTTTTTATCATCACTTTTGCATTCTTCTTTAACATCCATTTTTAATGATCTTTTAAAAGGGAAAACATAATTGTTACCTGATCTGATTGTTATCAGCAATGGTAAAGTTTATCAAGTTGTTCAAGTTTTTAATAACCTGAAATGGATGTTAATGATGGCCAGTAAAAGTGAAAGATGAACAATTTTGCCACTTTAATCACGACATTTAACTTTCTAGTTATTTTAATAAGAACACGATTTTCTCACTTATCTTCATCATCTTTATCATTTGACCAGACAAACAATTCTGTTGAGTAATTATTTAATTAGCCATTTGATACCAAAGAGGCGAACAAGAAATAAACAGAATTTTCTCTTCACCATCTTCAGATGATTAAAGGTGTTTGATTGAGTTTCTCTGTCAAATAGCTATTTCTATTATCTAATTAAGATTAATCCCTTTTGCAAGGTAAGAGAGAGAGGAACCAATAAAACCATTGAAATTACCTTGATTAATACCAACTGAAAAGTTGAGTAAAGAAAAAAATAAAAGTAAATTCAATAGTAATTAAAGAGAGTGAGTCAGTGAGGCCTTTTCCTTCAAACAAACAGCAAAAGTGAAAGCAATCAAAACCAATTTTTCATCTTCATCTTCATCCTCATCATCAATATGCTTAAGTGCAACTTTTCAAGGTCAGTCAAGTTGAAGAGAAGAAGAGGAAAAGATGAAAAACAATGGTCATGAAGAGATTCATCGTTGGCTCACTCAGAGTAAATAGCAATTAAAACTAGTTTGCATCAATGGGAAGGTGCTATTAGCTATTGCAATGATAATTATCATCGTTATTAAAATAATTATCATTACGAGAGAAAAGCTGAAAGGCCGAAAACCCAAACTGAATCTGTCAGTCTTTATCCTGGTTTTGAAAGAGGATCAAGATGATCAAGAGTGAGAGCCAAGTGAGTAGTTGAAATCATTTGGAATCATTTTTTTCTTCATTTTATTTTATTTCTTCTTCTTCTTCTTCATCTTCTGGATGATAACCTGTTTGAGGCTGCGTATTTAGTTTGAGCAACAACAAGCTTGGAAAAAAAAGTTGTAAAAAAATGTTCAATGTTTTTTGGTTAACAAGGAATAGGATGAAAACAATTAGTTGGTTCCTATCAACTTAACCTTTTGAGAAAACCCTTTTTACACCAAATTTGTTTCAATTACAATGAGCTTCAACTTGATTAGTTGTTCAATAGTTTTCCATGTTGAACCATTTATCCAAATCGAATGTTTATTTCAACATTTTTCAACTTTTATCTCAACATGAAACACCAACGTTCCAACGGATCTCATCGTAATCTAAACGTTTAACAGTTTTCATCCAACATTGACTTCAAATTGATTGTTGATTCAATGAAAAGCTTTTGGTTCAATTGGATGGTTTGATAAACGCAAACGGATAACACGTTTTGACTTGCAATTGTTCACTTGTGTGTTTTTTGTGTCAACAAAGCGGATAATCAATCATGGATATTATGTGATTTTCTTGCTTCTTTTTGTTCCATGGAAATATTTATTCAAAATTGTTCCCATTCTGGTGAGTTTTGCTTTTCCATCGGAAAAATTACTTTTCTCACTTTTACCAATTCTTATGTTTTCCCTCTTTTTGCTGCTTTGGTTGCTTTACTTTGGTTGACTTGAAACCAACAAAATCATTGATTGATTACAGCTAACTAAATGAGAATTGCTAATTGCCGATTGTCTGTTAATTGTTTCATTTGTTTTTTGCTTTTCTCTTCGCCTTTCCTTCTTCAAATTCAATGGATCAACCTTGAAAATTTACCTTCTTTTTTCACTCAAAAACAGTCAATCACTTTTTGCTTTGTTCATTTGTTCATATTAATTGTTCCTTATTTCAATTGACTTTTAATTTTACAATTTGAACAACTTTATTTGTGTGTTTCACTCGAGAGTTTTTTTCACTCTCCAAATCAAATCAACTTTGATTTTGCGAATAAAAAAAAGCTTGAGTAAACAATTGATTGGTTTCAATTGATTGACACAAATTGGTGTGAATCAAGTTTCCCTAATCAACCTTTACCTTGAATTGATCAACAATTCATGATTAACATTGAAATTTTACTTTTAATTTCGTCTTTCATTGATTAATCCATTTAATCAATTTTCAGTGAAAATCTGTTGATTGAAATTTGGCCATTTCCATCGAAAATTGGTTTTCTTTTTTACTCAATTTCATGATTTTTAATGAAATCTGAGTAAATAAAGCTGATGATGTTGAGCTTTGAAATTTTGATTATTTTTATAAAACTTTAGTCTGTCCAATTTGAGTTGAAATTGTACAAAGAAGTGTCAATAAGAACGACAATTTTCCATGTATTTCCGTGTTTGTAACAACAGACATCATGGAAAGCGTCGTTTTGTCAACTGTCTGGTTCATCCAGTTTTGTTCAACTAACATGATGTTCACTGCTCATCTCACATGCGTGCCCAAAATGGGTCTAAACTTTTGTTTATAGCAAAAGATGGCGCCTCTAACCTGATAAAAGTTAAACTTGACTAACATTGAAATGCAACAAAAAGCGTCAAAAATTGAGTTTAAATGCAAACTAAAAGTTACTTGAAACGCCGACTTTCACGTGGCCTTGAATACCAAATCAAAATCCAATAATCCAATAAAATCGTACATAAACGCAAAGAAAATTGCAACAAAAATAACCTAAAAAGTCAATAGCGAATAGCAAAAGGTAAAGAAATCGCTAAAAAGCAAATTTCCTCAAAACTAATATCACGACTTCCCAGCATCCAGACTGGGAGTGCAAAACTCCAAGAGCCAACGGGTCAACTCAAGGTACAAGTCAACTTTGAGTTAACATGAAAATTGTTTAAAAAATGAACTTTGAATTGAAAAATTGTGTAATTATTTTAATCATAGATGGCATTGGTACATTGATAAAATTGTTTAACTAAACTGGGGTTAAACATAATGACACACCTTCAAAAAACTCCTCCTTCATTGAGAAACATTTTTTTGTTGGATGAATGATGAGGGGGGCGAGGGAGAGAGATAATGATGATGAGAAGAGTAAAAAATATGCGAAAGTGGAAAAGACAGTGTAATGTAAAGACAAGAGGAAGATGAAGAAAAAGGGGAAAGAAAAGTAAAGGCGAGAAGAAAGTGATTGCTATGGGAAAAAAATAATGAATAAAGAAGATGATGAAGAGAAGAGAAAAAAAGAAAGAAAAGATTAAAGGGAAAGAAGATGATGATGATGATGAAGCATGCCTAGTAAAATGATGAAAATGAGTGAGAAGGAGTTTTTATTCTTGCACAAAATTTGCTTTGTCTTCGGTCTGCGTCTGCACAAGAAGGAGATGAAAATTAATGAGTGAGAGGCGAAAGAGATGAGAGACTGATGAAGATGAAAAAGATGTAAAAGAGAGTGAGGGAAGAAAGAAAATTAAAGGAGAAAAGAAAGAGAAGATAAGTGAGAACCGGTTGGTTTATCGCTTCTTTTTTTCATGTATATGGTGAGAGATCCGGAGAGAGGCTGAAATCAGTCAGAGAGAGTGCTTCATCAGGACTACACAACATCACCATTCAACATCATCATCATCATCCTCATTATTAAAGATACACAGTAAATGTATATGTAATACTTGAGAGCGACCAAGTTGTATTTATGTATTGAAACTCGCAACTCGACTCGCCATCAAATAATATAACATGATAATGATGATGATGCAAATGAGAAGAAGCCAGGAAATGTATATTTTTCCAGTGTTGTTTAAAGGATTATCAGTGCCGATTGACCAAGCTTCAATCAACTCATTGCAACACCAGCATCCCGAGTGACTCTCATCTCTCTGATAACTTCATCGTTCAACTCGTGTTTTCTCAATTTTTTTGTCTTTTCTCTCTTTTTCTTCTCCAACTTTTCTCCTTTTCTCCAATCTTTTTTTTCCTGAGAGTGAATTGTATTAAGTAATCACGAAATGGGTGTTTTTGTGTGTGTTTCACCACTTCTCTACTCTCTCTACCTGTGATTCAATATGTCATCATTGGCGCCAACATCAATGAGGAAGTGTCAACTTGCAGTGTGACAACATTCAACTACTTGATTCAACCCAAACCTCAACATCAGTGAATCAAAATTAAAGTCAAAACAAGGCAAAAAGCTCTTGCCTCTTGTCCGGTTAACGTTTGTTCCTAAAGAAGATAAAATAATGAAAAATTTATTCGAAAAATCAAATTAGAATTTTAATCAAATTTTCTCATTTGGAAGAAGCCATTTTAATCACATTTACATTTCACCATAACTCACACTCACATAAACACACTTAAACACACACACACATCCACATCCAACACACATTCCTAATCATATTTATATTCATAATCTTAACTTATTATTACAATTATTGAGAGAAAACAAAATATTGAAAAAATTGGTAAACACTTTTTTGGATTAGTTCCTATTCAACAAACACTGACCCATCAGTTCCTATTAATACAACAACCAATCAACTAAACAAACGCAAGCATCAAGTTCCTACTTTCGGATTGCCTTTTTTTTGCCGTAAAAAAACACAAAAATCACATTCAACAAACGGTAAAGTAAGTAACTCTTTTGATTCACCTTTTTTCCTCTTTTCTCGCTCTTGACCTTTCACCACGTTTCTGTCTTCCGTCAACATTGAAACCTTTTTTTCTTCTTCTCTCATTTCCCGTTTTGCACACTTACACCTTTCGCCAACCAGAGAGACTTTCATAAACTGCAACCACTAAACACCAAAAAACACCAACACTTTTGCAACACACAAAACGAAAAGAATTGCTTCTTCGATTTTGTTTCTTCTCCTTTCTTCCCTTTCTTCCTGTCAACAATAATGGTTCCTACAACAACTACAACTACTACTATTACTACTGCTGAAACAGCAACAACTGGTGGTTCCTAAAATAATACCTAAATAGTAATACACTTTAAGCGCAAAAGCAACTAACTAAAGCCCTGTTAACACTTCAAACACACTAACATCGCCAACGTACACTTTCAAGGTTCCTAAACTATTATTTATTATTGAATACTTATATTGATAAAAAAACAAGTTCCAAGTCCTGGAGAAGATAATTTAATAAGAATCTGCAATTGACAAACAAAAGCAAATGATTATTGGTTATTATTTCATAATTTGAATCCATTTTTAAAGCGAAACGCAAAAAGAGATAAAAGTTCCTTTTTTTCATCTCAAACACCTCAACAAAAAACGGAAACATTTCATCCAATCCTGATAAAAGTAACATTTTAAAACCATCTTTAACAACCTGACAAAAGGTAAAACTAACCATTTCTATTAACCTAACCTTAAACCCGTTTTAGTGTTTCCCTTAATTTTAGGTTCATTTGTTGACATTGAGTTAAACAAACGTTTATATAAAAAATAATCTTGAGTTTGAATGCAACTCAAAAGATTAACCTTTAGTGATTTGAAAATGTGAACATCAAATGATAACAGTTATCAGGTTATCATTATCATTGTGACAAAAAACTGAAACCCAAATATCGAAGACTAAAGTTGATTTGATTTACCCAAAAAAACTTTGAAAACTCAGCCAATGTGATTCAAGTCAACCGATTTTGATTATTCAAAGTTGTGCTTCGAGTCATTTTGAAATATTGTGACAAGTTGACTTTTGTATCCTTTAAAAGTCGTTTAACGGACATTTAATTTTCGACTCTCAAAACAAGTTTAATCTTGTCATGTTGAGTTTACCCGAAGGTTGTGCTCATGAATGGCCAGTTTCGCCAGTTGAACATTGCAAAAGCTGTATGTTAATGCTTTTAATTAAATTAATAGGAGAAAAAAAAGAGAGTGAAAAGGAGCAAAAAGTTCATCTATATTGTTCATGATGGAAATTTAGATTCTCTGAGTTTGCTCAGCATTCAGTTTTGGTTAGTTAATGGATAAAATGTTTTCCTATACACAAATGAGATGAATAAATTAACATTAACATTACAGTGTTAATTGATGTAATCTCTGAACTTCTTTTTTTCCTCCTTTGAGCGTCTTCAATTCCATGGTAAACATGGAAACTTTCAACTCTTTTTCCCTCAATCAATATGGTTGCACTTGTTCAGAGCTCATGCTCAGGTCAAATGAGGAAATTATAATGAACTACAATTAAACTGAAATTACCTATGAAATGAGTCGACATGGAAAAACTGACTTTTCTCAATTCCAATTCCTTCTTCTCTTCTCCTACAAAGTGAACAATTAACTTAATTTAGTTTCATTGTTTCATCTCATTTAGCATTACCTTAACCCAGTTAACCTCATCAGTGTAAAGATGAATGGAAAAGAAGAAGAAAAAAGGAGAAAAAAATGTTATTAATTAAGTATAGAAAGTGTAGAGTGAATCAAGTTAATTTCATTTTGCTTTTACTTTTTGATTCTCTTTTCTTGTTCCATATAATTAGCTCATTATCTTTTAAATATTAGATTAAACCTTATTACATTACAGGTCGTAATTGTGTTAATAATGAAGTTGATTATGTTGATTAATTTATTAATTATTAACTAATATCATTACGGTTTAATATTAGATTGATATTGATTTTTCCTTCTGTTTACTTTGCTTGGTTTTTGGTCAACCTGAGATTTTTGTTGGTTTTTTTTTCAATTTTTTGGGTTTCATTTTGTTTCCATTTTTGTCGGTGTTTTTTTAATGGCCTTATAATGTTTTTCAAGTGATGAAGGTACATGAAGTATTATCATAAATATTGGTAAATATCAAGTTTTTGTTTGATGATGGCGAGATGAGGAATCATCATCAATAGCAATGAGCAAAATTAATCCCAAGACTATTTTATTTTGTTTTTTTGGGTTCCTTGTTGAAGCCAACCTACGTTTAGATGATTGTTGACTCAGATTAATACTGATTCTTGATGAAGACAAGGATGATTATTATGATGATAGAAGCATAATATTCTGTGGAAACAACAAGGAAAATATATTAAGTTTCTTTTTTTACTTTTGTTTCATCACCATCTTCATCAGGAGAAAATTGTTATTACCAGAATTGAAGAGAAAAGTGCTCTTGAATTAATTGTTTTTTCACAAGAGAAGATGAAAAGAGAGTAAAAATATGTCAAAGAAGGAAATGATGAGAATGTGCTGGAGAAGATGAAAAAGGTTAAGGAAGAGAAGAAATCAGTTTCTTCCAAGCTTGTGCAGTAACAAGCAAGTGATGAATAAAAAATTGGTCCAAGGGTAAGGAGAGAGAGAGAGAAGAGAGAGAAGATGAAAAATCTTTCTCTTCTCTTTTTTTTCGCCTAAAAAGTTTCATTAAATGAAATCTTTTTACTTCATTTTGAGACTGGAAATTACAAAAGATTTAAAAGTTTGATAGCGAACAACAAAAGTATAATCGAGGGATGCTGTGTGACTCACATTGATGAGGATGAGGAGATGATGATGATAATGATGAGAGTGAGGGAGAGAAGGTAAAGTCAGGGGTTGAGAGTTAAAAATGAGTAAAGGGAGAAGAGGAAAGAGTAAAAGTGAAAAGACAATTTATCTTTTAAAGGTTCAACATTTTATTTGACAAAAGAAGCAAAAAATTACTCGAAAAAAAAGTTGATAGTTTTTTAGATTCTCTCAATTTCTCCCTCTTTTTTTAACATCATTTTCATCCTCATCTTCATCATCATCATCTTTTCTTCTTGAACGCTCAGTGTAAAATAGAGCAAAGACTTTGACAGTCAACAGGAAATATAGAGTAAAGCTAAATTAAAGTTTTACTTTTCATTCAACTTTTAATAGATATTTTATACTTTATTATATTGTGCTGCCTTTTGCAAAAGATGGTGAAAAAGGGAAAAGTATAATGAATCAAAGTGATGATGATGAGCAGTGAAATGAATTAGATTGGAAACATTTTCACCTAAATTATGATTAAATTTTGTTTTTCCAAACTTTGCAAACTTTTCTCTCATTTCAACTCAATTTTTGATGCTTTAATCATTGTTATAATTGTTTCAATGTCAATTACTGATTGATATTGTTAATGATGATAAACATGGAGAAGAAAAAAGTGAGAGAAAAAAAATGATTTGATAAACATTTTCTAGACGTGACTTGGTATTTCAAGTAATCATGATGATGAACAAAAATATCATGGACCAAGCAAGGTGAATGTTGATTCAATATCTGTTTTTTTCATTCAATGTTTCCATGGTTTTCGATAATCACAACTCGTCTAATCTCAACATTTTTGGAAACAAAAATAATATAAAGCGAGAGAGAGAAAGAGAGACAAAAAATGTGTCATCAAAGTTACATTCATGTTTCTTGTGTTTATTAACCAATTATCATAGTGTGTCAATCATTTTTTTGCATCCAATTCATCTTTTCAGCCGTGATTTGAATTATGAACAAGATGAGGAGAAGAGGCAAGAGAAGGATCAAGATGTTGATGAAGATGCCAACAAGAAGAAGAAAAAAACAAAGAAAACAAGTGATGATGAAAAGAGGATGAAGAAGAAGCAAGATTAACTGTTATTCATTTTTCTTCTTCTTCTTTCTTCTTCTTTCCATGAAATGTTGCTAAAGATGATGATAATGATGTTATCTTTTCGCCTTCCTCAATCATCTTTTTCCAAGTAACAAGAGACGGTAAAAGGCTGAACCAGAATCTGGTTTGTCAAGGGGCAAAGTGGACTTGCTTTGCATCAACTTTTATCCTTGTCTTGCTTCACACTTGTGACTTTAATGAAAAAATTTTATTCCACTTTTCACTTTTATCTGATTAACCCTGAATTATCAGTGATCAATCTGAACAAACCTCAACCCTTGGTAACTGACTAAACATGACATTTTTCGTGTTTTAGGTAAACCAGAAACTGGTTGACACGGTAAAATCGGTCACAAATCAACATTAACAACATTCATAAGAATTTTTGCTTTTTCTTCTATTTTATCGAGTAAAAATGAATTTCTTGATGAAAACCAATTTTCTCAACCTTCAAGCTTGATTAGTACCTCTTCTCCTTCATAAACATTAAACATTAAATTTTCTAATCAACAAAATCTTAATCATCTTCTACCTTTAGTTCAATTACAATCAAACCATTTATCCTTATTTTAATTATCGCTCATTGGTATTTCCCCTTTAAATTGATTTTTACCTTTTCAATCGTTAATTAATTATTAGCATACATTTCTTTATCTGCCTACTAATTTTAATAACAAGTTAATCAATGACAAATTACCGATTGATCAGAGAGTTTTGGTTAAAAGAAATTCAGCAAAATTCATGTTTACCTTTTAATCATTAGTTAATTACTTGAACCATTTCGTGTGTGAACCAAGTTGAAACCAGTTGATGTCTTGATTGTAATTACAATAATTAAATTTCTTTGATCAATCATCATCAACTTTTTGCTCGAAATTATCATTGTTTGAACAAAATTCAAACTCATTCCATGTAAGAAAAGAAAAGAGCAAAACCTTGAAAAATAATTTACTAACAAAATGCATTTACATTGATGGAAATTGATTGGTGTTAAAGTGATTTTTTTAGCTTTAATTAGTTTCTTCTTTATTCACTTGATTGAATTTCAAGGCAAGTTGAATGTGAAGTTGATTATAATGGCCTCTGGATCAAGTTAATTGTCAATGGAATGAGAAAATGAAGAGAAAAGTTCATTAATGAACTTTTTAGATCATAATTGTTAATTTAATGGTAATGTTGACTTTCAATGGATTTAAGTGAATCAGTGATTTCGCTAAAATTTAAATTCAAGAGAATCCAAGTTTTTGGAGATTTAATGAAACGATGAAGAGAATAATTTTTTGGGTAATTTCTTTATTAATATGGCTTCCAAAATATTGAGCAGACATTTGGTGAATTAAAATCTCCCTGGGAGAGAATCATCATCATCTTGTTTCTCGGTTTTTTTTCATCCATCTTCATCTTTTTTCCAGTATTTGTTTTTATTATACATTAAGTTTGGTGAAGAAAAAAAAGCAATATCCTGATGGATGATGATGAGGAAGAAGAGAAAGAAATTATAAATACATGTATATGGAAAAAGATTAGAAGATGAAGAGAGGAGGATGCAAATGAATGGATGATGAGAGTGAGAGTGAGTGAGAATGATGTGTTGGACATGCTTGACCAATTTGACGAGCTAAATGAGAATGAAAGAGAAATGATGAAAATGATGAAGATGATGCGGTGAAGTGAGAGTGATGGAAGTAAACATATTTGACTGGTAAAATCATCATCAATGAAAGAAGAAGATGGAAGAGAAATGAAACCAACAATTAACAT